CTTAGTTTTGCTTTTTTTTTTTAATGTGATTCAACTTATTTGAGGATGCTTTTAAAAGCTGGTTATACCAAACACATTAACTGTTTTTTAACCAGTTTTTGATATTAGATTACCAAACAACTATTTTCAACAGCTTATATAAGTTGCTTCTATAACCTTCTTTTATAAGCAACTTATTATAAGCTCCAACAATACCAAATTGGCCCTTAGTTTGGTGCTTCTCAGGTCGTTATGAATTATGTGCATCAACATTCAGTATTCTATCATAAATTATTACTGTCGAAGTTATACCAACTTCAGAGCTCTGATGTAGTGGCAAGTGATTTTTTGATGGCATGGGAGGACCTTGTTTGAAATCCCGCTGAGTGTGCATTTGTCAAAAAAAACACCAATGTGCAAAAGGAAACGCAAGTTCAAGACACATTTAGAAGTGTGTTAGAATATGAAATATAAAACCACAACCTTCAACACCAATTTCGAAGTTTAAATGCAACACATGGATTTTGAGAGTTAGATATACATTCTTAAGAATGCTAACTTTTATCAGGCATATAAACTTTGGCTTAAATTTAATTTTCCTTTCCACTGTGATCGTAGGTGGCTTTGGATGAAGGGTTAGGAGCATACATGAATACTGATGGTTAGCATCTGTGAGTGGGTATAGCATTTGTAAGGATATTATTCATTTTCTCTGAATAACAAATTGAAAAAGAGAGAAGAGAGGGTGCTTCCTTGGTTGGGACTTGGGAGGTTGTGGTTAATTAATGTGTCCCGACGGGGTCACTTTTAATTTTGGAACCCATTGTCTAAGTATATAAGAGTGTAAATCCTTTCGTTTAGGTGTTAGATTATCAGACAGACTCATTGGTCTAAATTTGTTGGACTGTAATTTCAAACGACATTCTCAATGTGGGTCATAGGATTGTAATTCATTGCACAACATCTGGTGCTTATGGAACATGAAGGTGTTCAATATCTCACGAATGCTCCGTTGTGATCTCTTCGTGTCGCAGGAACGTGTAGAATGTTAAATTATCATCACAGAGGGTTCTTCCCCGTTAGAAGCTCTTTCCTTAACTATGGAGGCTTTCTTGAGGTTACCAACCATCCCCCTCATTGTGTAGGTTTCTCTGCCTGTTACAACCTTCTAGCCAAATTTAAGGAGTTCGTCTAAGTTGTAAACTATAGCTTCCTAATGCAAGTGCACGTATAGCTGCTTGCCTCTCAAAGTGTTACACAATTTTAGCTCTTTGCCAACCCTAGCTCTGGCCCACTTCCTACACAGACAGCCTTGTATGTATGCTTTTGGTGTCCGTTCCATCTAATGGACAGTGAAAAGCCTTCTCGATAGGTAATGTTTGATTTAGGTGCACATGGACCTGGGATCAAGAGGAGGAAGCTACTAATAAGTGATAACTATTAAATCTTATTGAGTTCATAATCAGTAGGTATCAGTTAGATAGAAAAGGTCAGCATAGCAATTTAAATCTCCTATGTTGATTGTTTTGTGGTATGGATGTTGAATCTACAACATTGTTATTGACAACAAGTTCCCACCATCATGAAGCGATGGATGGAGGAACATCATTATTTCTCATCCCGGTCATTTAATTTTTGGCTCGCTTTAAGGATAATTGATTTTACACTTCCATTTTTTTATTATTATATATGATATGATTGGATGTCAAGTTATACAGTCTAAGAAAATGAAGAACAGGTACATATTTATATCATTGGATGGTGACATACATTCATAGCTGACGTCACTGTTAAAAACATGGTATTTTCCTTTTGCAGATTCATTTTGTACTTCTGATTAGTAGACAAGGAAAAGTGAGACTGACAAAATGGTACTCTCCACATACACAGAAGGAAAGGTCCAAGGTAAGCAATATTTTGAATACATATTTGATTTTCTTCTTTCATCTCCTATATACTATGTTGCATGGGTATTTCTATTTGGAGTCATACCCGTGTCGTATCCGTACCCAACACCGAAACCTCAGTGGACACTCCTTGGAATTTGCACACACTTATTTCAAATGTGTACTCAATTATATATACATGTTTTAATTTAAAATACTTGTCATACTTTTTTGTGGACGTTTATCCTACATGTGCAATTCTTGAAACTTGTTGGACATAAGTTGGGTTCATCTCACCCTGTATCCGGTTCAAAACTATGATTACAAAGGGTGATGGGGTCCAGCACCAAAGGGTCTTTTGGATATCAAGTTTAAAAAAATGAGCTATTTTCTAATTTATAGATCCATATTAAAAAAGAAACATATAAATGTTATAGGAATTTTATTTCATAGCATGTGAAATAGAAAAAATTATATTGATTTCATGTAAATTGTTATTATATATACGTGTACGTGTAGCAGTTTCTCGGTGCTCTACCTTTTACAAATTTAGCGTGTCCCACAACCATACTCGCACCCCTACCCCTATCTGTGTAGCTTAGTCTATATATCCATGTTTTGTCTCCTACCTTCGTGGATCAAATTTTATCATCGAAGAAGATTTATTTTCTTTTATTTCACCTCTTGGCCTAAAAATAACAATAATACTTTTCTTGCACAAGGTAATTGCAAACTGTTTTCTATGTCAGCATACTTGTTTCCATTGTAATCTGATGTGCATTTATGCATATTTTATATACAATTACATTTTATTTCTGTAAGCACTGAATAGTTTGTAATCCATTAACTTACAAGAAACGCAATTCTTGACCTTTTAAAAGATTCTGAAATTGACATAAATTTGATATGTTTTTTCGTCTTGTATAGATGTATCTGTATACTCAATTGTCTTCCTATATATTTGTGTACGATGTTAAACTTGGCTATCAATACTATAGATTGAAATGCTCTCTTTTGGCTTTATAATTGTCATGGGTTTTCTTCCCTCTTGATGTTTATCTGCCATCTTGATAATCTAGTGATGTTGACAAAGTTGGTTCTTTCTACTTTTGCCATCTTTTATTTTCTAGTTATTGGACTTGGAAGGAGCTAGAGCATTTCTAAATTTGATGCTGCTGGATATTTGATGGTTGATAGTTTTATGTTATATCTTTTTTCATCTTTATGCATTTCCTGTTCCTGAATAGATTATCCGAGAGCTTAGTGGAGTTATTCTAACAAGAGGCCCAAAACTCTGCAATTTTGTTGAGTGGAGAGGTTACAAAGTTGTGTACAGAAGGTAAAGCATTGATATAGTGATTATTCTCTCAATCTAGTTGCCCTAAATGCTGGGGATAATTCCCAACTCAGGGATACATTTCAATGTTGTGTCTATAAATATCATTTGTAGGTATGCCAGCCTTTACTTCTGCATGTGCATTGATGCGGACGACAATGAACTGGAGGTCCTGGAAATTATTCATCATTTTGTTGAGATATTGGACCGTTACTTTGGCAGTGTGAGCCTACTATCTTTTTGTCTAATGGACTATATTACTACCTGAATATTTCTAAATGGTTCTGTAACTCGTACTTTACATTTTACATTTCAGGTGTGTGAGCTGGATTTGATCTTTAACTTTCACAAGGTAACTCCTTATCCGCTCTGAGAACACAATCAATTTTCATTCTAGTTTTGTTTGCCTTTACATATTTAGCTTTTTATTTTTTTTTAATTGGCAGGCATACTATATATTGGATGAGGTTCTTATCGCGGGTGAACTTCAGGAGTCAAGCAAGAAAACTGTTGCACGGCTTATAGCTGCGCAGGTATGGTCATGCTCACCCTTCCATCAAGTAGGATGACGATCATAATATACTTTTTTTGTGTTCTCACCGGTTGATAAAATAGATTATTTTGTATCTCTATTTATTTTCCACCCAAAGTTTTGCTTGAACATTAACTTAGTTACGTTATGGTACTGTGGATTATATTCCGTTTTACCTGACAGTAGCTCATTGTCAGTGTTTACTGCAGCGTTCAAGGTTAAACCTTATCACATTCCATTAGTAATATAGCCAATGCATGTCTGAACACCATGCAATAACCAATCTTATTTCACAATTTTAAACATATATCTGAATTCTCAAATTATTAGAGGGGTTTATGCAAAGTTTGTAATTCACACCTGTCTTTCTCTAGTACTTGCATATTGTTCACGCATTCTTGCAACGTAGTACTTAATAGTAAACTTTAGATGTAAACAGATATGCCCTTTTGTATGTTTCCTTAACAATGAAACATGGATATGCAAATGTACATCAGTGTGCTTGCACGTGCATAAATATACATGTATTTTTTTAATCTGAACCTTTAATATGTAGGATCATTTTCTCAATTTGTCCTGAAATCGAGTTTGCGTAGGCAAACATATTATCAAAATTTGAGACTGAGAAAATACCAAAATTTTTATGTAAGTGAAAAACATCTGAAGTAATTAATATTTGAGAGCAGAAGTGGTGTTTCTAACCTCTATTTGTCTAATTGCGATCATACTGCATCAGATGGGATGTGTTCTGTGCGAGTTTGATATATGTATGTGACTCTCTATGCACCTACTCGCAATCCTGCGGTATATTCTCAAATAGATGTTTTCGATTTGCAGGATTCACTGGTAGAGACCGCCAAAGAGCAGGCTAGCTCCATAAGCAATATGATTGCGCAGGCTACAAAGTAGAGAGTTCCATGATTTTGCAATGGTCTGCATTAGCCCTTACTGTTTTCAACTTTCGTGTGTGGCGATGTTATGAATATAAGCGAGGCAATTGGTTGTATATGATCTCATGAGGTGTATAGTATGTTCACTGTGTTTCCCATACTGCAGCTTGCTCGAAAACAATGTATGTTCATTCTCGGTTTGTTCAGATTGATGAAAATTGTTGTCGTGTATTTTCAAGTCGCAGTTTCCTCCTCTGGGCAACGTATGGTTTGCATTCATTGAAGAATTCTCAGTGCTTTTCAAATTTGCCACATCGGAACCGGAAACTTGCATGGAGAAACAAGTGGAAACTAAATTTGTCTAATTTTTAAAAACAACAACAAGAGAGCTAAATATAAAGTTTGGCTGTATGAGTCACTTTCATCTTATTTGATGAGTAATCATATTTAAATTGCCAGGAGATGATATATGGATTTCTCATCGAATCATGTCGATATTCGCCTTCATATTCTCGATCAATAACAAATTGAGGTACGATGAATATCACGTTCGATCCATATAAATTGAGTGCAGTACCAATTGTCACTTTAACTATGCGGGAATTCAAATTCAAACCAAACAAGAGCTAATTAACGTTGTAAATAGTTGTAAAAACTCGCGAGATCACTGATATTTTCTTAAAAAAAGAGAGAAGAAGAAAAAAAAAACAAAAAAAAGTAACTCCTTTTAATAAAAGAGAAAGAACCCATGCATAACTTTTTTTTTCTTGACTGACATGATGAAACTGAAGATTCAGACCCTCACAATAATTTTTCCCTCCACTCAGGAAAACAAAACTAATATTTTTTTTAAGAAAAGAATTTCCTACAAAGAAGGGCAACCTGCTACATCCGTTTCCAATTCCAATTCCAATTCACTGGTGTGCGGTCTCATGCAAAGCACAACTCCCCTAAATTTTTAAACACTGCATTTTAAAATTATCTCTCTCTAACTTTTAATACATTTGATTTAATTATTGTATGCGAAATTTAGAAATCATATCTACTCCTCTATACTTAAAAAAGAATCCAAATTTTAATACATTTAATTTAGATATCATATCTACTCTTTTATACTTAAAGAACAATCTAAGTTTTAATACATTTGATTTGTTTTACTGTGTATTATACAGTAAAATACTATAGTATGAATAATAACTTCAAGTATGAAGGAGCAGCTTTGATTCACTACTAATGCTACAGTAAATATTGTAGCATAAACAGTAGCTTTGAGTGCAGAGTACCAGATTTGGTTACTGTTTATACTACAATATTTACTGTAGCATGAACAACGACTCTTTGGATTCTACTTTTGAAGTATAGAGGAGTAGATCAACTCTCACTAAACCCACTTTAACAAATCTATTAATTTGCATAAATATATTAATAACATCTCATTTTTTGAAAAAATAAATGCTACAGAGAGAGAAAGAGAGAGATGGGAGAGGAGTCGGATTCAAAAGAGAAACTTGTGAGAGAGATTTGCAACGTTTCAACATTGCTTACATCTCGTTCTCATATCAGGAGTTCAGCGCAAAAGCCAGGATTCATTGATTGGTACCTCATTCCAAGAGTAAGTGCAATTGTTCTTCAAGTTTTTTTTCCTCTGTTTTTTTGTATAAAAAACATTTATTGGTTTTTGATTGAGTTTTGTGTAGATTGATGAGAATTCTGGGGGTGATGTCATCCGAAGGCGATACCGCCAGCTGGGTATGATTTAAATCTTACTGAAAACTTGTGAAATTTCATTTGTCAGAATTGTTTTTCAATGAAATTTTATTCTTTTGGAGGAAATATTTGTAGCATTGCAGTTTCACCCGGATAAGAAAAAGCATCCAAAAGCTGAAGATTTTTCTGTGACAGATTGTAGATTGATTTATGATAGATGTTATGTAGCCGTAGGACTTTTCTTTGCTTCATTGCATAACAATGTAGGTAGTTTTTTTTCGAAATATTAGGAAGTAAATGATGCGTGCATTTTGCAAATCCATATCCTCAGAGTTGTTTCCCACGTACCCGACCCGATCATCATGGTTTAACGAATTGCAATTTTGTGAATGGAAATCTAGAGGAAAAGTGAAGACTACATGTTAGCGAAATATATACAGAGAGCTAGGCTACTACTAATAGCACCTAACATGCAGATGCGCGCTATCAACCCAATTTTAAAAAACCAAAACTCAAAAATGAAAATCCAAACTAACAGATGTGGTTTACTACACATGAACTAGTTAGAAATAAAATTGCAAATAATTTCGGCGTGTTTGGGAATTATATATCAAGAGACGAAAATTAACCAACTTCATGGAAATTCTTTGTGAGAGCTAATGAAAGGAATGCTTAGTGAGAGCTTTTACCTCTCGCTTCACTTGTCAAAATTCCCCCAGCTTTTAGATGGAAATCCATGGATTGAACCATCACTTCACATGAGAGGGAGAATAAGCTGAAACCATGACGAGGGAGCGAAAAGAAAGTCAGATGGGGGTACCTGGTCCTATCAAATTAAATGCGACATCCGCTTCATGACATCCTGGTTTCATGTCGAACACGAGCATAACGTAATACAGAAGGTTATCAAAATGAATCAACAAGTGCTGCTTTAGTCGTCTTGGGAAAATATTAAACACACATATACATGCTTGGAACATATACCTCGAGCCTATTGGTACGTATGTGCTTCTTCTACATGTACAAATGCCGAGTAAAAGCGGGGGGAAATCATGTAGTAACTAAAAGACACGTACAGGAGAAAGGATATTGCAAAGCATGTCGCTTAATCTCTCTTGATAGAAATGCTTTTGTACTCCTTGACTGTGTTTGTAATAGCTTGTTCAACCGGTAGTCTCTCTAAGCTTGATGCACCATAGAACCCATGGAGCCCCTTGGTACTCTTCAGTATGAATTCAGCTTCTCGAGGACCTGAGATAGGACCTGCAACACACATCATGCGTTAAAAAAATTTTGGGAAAAAAAATCAGGTAATCGTAATTGATGCAACTAACAAGAGAATAACATCTGAATTTGAAAAATATTTGCGACTAAACACCCATTTCTCCATGTAGCACTTTGAAAAAATTGCTTTACCTAAACAAATATCTTCCCAAGTTCCAGTTCATGCAAGCGTGATTCACTTGCAAATTTTTACCATTCATAATCTTTCAAATATCTAAAAACTGAAAATTCAGATGTTGGTGATTACTGTTGCTACCCTTATAATTTGTTGAAGTGATGAACGCGATCTTTCAGAAGTTCCCTTTTGCTCACTATTGATCAATAGATGTACATCATTCAAATAACTAATCATGGCAGGATCAGAAATTAGTCTTTTAAGAAATCTAGCACCAAGCTTTCCACCAAATTCCTAGAAACAGCCAAAAATCAATCTTCAATATAAACCTTGGTAAGCCTTACCACACTTGCAGATAGCATGAACATAAACTACAGGTAATATACAAAAAGGTTTTATAACGCAAAGTAATTTGGGAAAAGGGCACAAGGCTCAAAGTGGTCAAAAATACCAAAGATTTTACCGAAACGCTTTTAGCACGTTCTGACTTCCCTACTTCTGCCTAGATAAGTTTTTGACCCACGTTGAAAATGAGAAAAAGAAATGAGCTATACATAACAATTAACTTTCTATATTTGATTGCTTTGGCCGGGTTTGGAACTAATAACTGGCACATCCATGTATATGCAACACACACAAAGGAGTACTAGCACTCTACGGTTTGTTTATACTTTCTTTGTACTCATCTCACCAAAAGCACACACGTCGCAGCTTGTGGGCTGAAGTTTGGATGAAGCATTTAATTTTGCACGTGTCAATTGAATTTACACAGCTTCGAACTGAAAGCCAACTAGTATAATGGGTTGGATTGTTGCGAGAACCAAGATTGGATGGCGACTCTTCATAAACCGTGCAACCTTACATTTGTGGTAATGAGCTTTTAATAAATTGATGTAAGAAGCACCCTTCTGGTGTTGGCAATGGAACCTTGGTTAGACACCCACAAAATGGATCTGTTCTTTCCAGTATCTGTCTGTGAGTTTCTTTGGTCCAAATCAGTTTTTCTAATTAGCTGCCTTCTATTCGTCAGAAGTAGGTCCAATGAGCATTTAATAAATTGATATCGACTCTTCATAAACCGTGCAACCATACAATAGTGGTATCAATAAATTGATGCAAGAAGCACCCTTCTGGCATTGCGAAGCAATGGAACCTTTGTTAAACACCCAAAAGCCGAGTATGTTCTTTCTACTATCTGTCAGCTGTGAGTGACTGAGTTCTTTGGTCTACATCAGTTTTTCTATTTAGCTGCCTTCCATTTGTCAGAAATAGGTCTAACACCACTAACACTCCTGCTTCTAAACGTTCATTACAACTTGAAATAGGTGAATGTTCAGGCGACATATTGAAACTAAAGCTAAAAGACATGATATTATCAGCTTAAGGAAAGTAGTTAAAGAAGCACACCTCCATGGCAAAGAACAATAATGTCTGGATTTACTCCAACTGCAGCATCAGCAATGGCTTGAACATAGACAACACTATCATCAAGTGTGACAGCTGTTTTTGCACCAATAGATCCTGATGTTGTGAGACCCATATGTGCCACTATAATATTAGCACCAGCCTTAGCCATGGCAACTGCTTCATTTGGGTTGAAAGCATATGGTGTTGTCAAAAGGCCTAATCTATGAGCTTTGTTGATCATCTCGACTTCCAAGCTGGTAAATTGAAAATGATTGAGATAGAATTACATTTTATAATATAATACACTAAAAAATAAAAAATAACTGTGACCCAGAAAATGTCCAATCAAGATGGGTGCATCGTCTAGTCCATGCTATTATATAATAGTAATAATAATAATAATAATCCTCACCGGGATATCAATGTCGAGAGTGTAGTCATGCTATAATAGCACGCTTATGAATCATATTTTTGATGGAAGACGTCTTCATGCACAATCGGCCCTATCAAAGGTCACTAGGTGATCAAACATGTCATTAGGTGATTAAACACATCATCAAGTGATTAAACATATACTCATTTATCTTAACAAAAAGGAAATAAAGAAATAAATAACGTAATTGTTTAAAATCACACTAGGTCAATCGGGCCTGGGTTTATAGCATAAAGACTCAACAAAACTGATTTTTTTTGGTGAGCTAAGGACCCAAATTTGTTGGTATTAATTTTATGCATTTTAGACCCAAACGGGTTGATAATGGGTCCAAACCGGGTCGGGTTCGAGCTCAACATCCCCAAAAATAAATTAAAAAAAAAGCTCATGGGATTTGAACTCCGGATCTCTATGCTAGAGACCATGCCTCTTAACCACTATACCCAAGGGTTCTCTGCATTTGACTTGCTGCAGGAAATCCTTTAACCTAGTTTCAGTTGACCATGAGAAAAATAGAAATTTCAGATAAATAAGATATTAAGGATTTAGAAAACTTAAATACTCAGTTTGTGGGCGAAGATTATTAAAAATAAGTTTATTACCAGAAAGGAAATTTACACATAAACAAAGATATGTTTATTTAGGGAAAGCCCTTCAGGTCAAAATAAAAGAGTTTGTTAGTTAAACTATTTGAAATAGGAATTAATTTTTGAAAAGGGCAAATTGTTTGTTGTGCAACAATATCATTGTTTTAGAAAAAAGACAATCTAAAATTTGAAGAACAAATTTTGAGAATTGAAGTGTTGATTAGAATCTCACGAAAAACTTCCGGTCAACTTTAAGCACATTAATTTATAATGTGTTAAATAAGAAAAATACCCTATAAGATGTATAGCATATATTAACTTAAAAATTTTCAGCACATAGAAAATTTTATATGTTTAACTAGAGAAAAGATGGAAAGGAAGGACTTACAGGTTGGGGAAAAAATAGAATTTATTATGTTGGAAAATTACTCTAGTTACCGAAATATTGTTTGGAGGGAACTTTAATGCAAAAACTCCAAGTCATGAATCCTAATACCCATCTACAACAAAAAGTTAAAGATCACAGCTAGACTTATGAAAAGTGGGAACATACGTACCATTGTTATCCATTGAATAAAATATAGTTTATCCATCAAGCTAACTATATAAATGGAGGAACCCGTATGTACAACTTCATATAAATATAAGAAACCAACAAATCATTTTTCATGATTTCTACGGGAAGACAGCACCAGTAAGAAAAGTTATATGTTATCTTAAAACAAAATAAAGTTGTATATGTAGGAACTTGGACCTAACTTAAGCTATTTAGTCTAGCATTCAAGACGTAAATTTCAAATTATAATGAAAAGCCTATACATAGTTGTAGTATAAAATCAGATAATAACCGGTTATTATAAATCTAACAAGGGAAAAGTAAGCCTACGATTCAACAAAGAAAATATCATGATGAAAGGAAAAAAAAATTGAATGAAGAAAACAATTGAGAAAAGGTATGCTTGCCGATTAACATCGAACCAAAAACTCAAGCAAGGATCATTCTTCTCTCCTCTTCAAGCCTTAATTGTTGTCTTCCCTCTCTCTCTCTCTTTATATTTTTTTCCCGTGAGAAGAGAGTATGAGAGGGTTTTATAGAGGTTAAAGGGAGTTAAAGGTAGTTTAGTGGAGGGATAAAGGTAGTTTAGTAGAGAATTTTAGGTTCAGTGGGGAGATTAGGGGAGAGGGGGACAGTGAGTTAGGTATTACATCTACCCACCTAAAAAAATTTGTCATTAAAATTTGATCCAAGCATAAAAAAATCTAGATGTTACCAGTTGTAAAAAGATGTGGATACCGCTGACGAATATCGCCCTCTTGTTCCCATGTTGCTTCATCTGGTCCATGATATCTCAGGACACTAAGACTAAAGGAATAGTCCTATTTTTTAGGACTTTTTCTTATCTGTCCAAAATATCTATCGATTGCTCTTCATACGACAGGTTTGTTCTAACATGAAGCTCTATGATATCTAGGATGTGGATCTCATCTCACACGTATCGTCGAAGTTGCGATAATGGAACACATCATGCACTCCCTCCAATGATGGAGGCAAAGCTAGCATGTATGCCACCTCTCCTACTCTCTCCAATATCTAGGATGTGGATCTTATCTCACGCGTATCGTTGAAGTTGCGATATACGGAATACATCATACACTCCAATATCTAGGATGTGGATCTCATCTCACACGTATCTATCCAAAATATTTATCGATTGCTCTTCATACGACAGGTTTGTTCTAACATGAAGCTCTATGATATCTAGGATGTGGATCTCATCTCACACGTATCGTCGAAGTTGCGATAATGGAACACATCATGCACTCCCTCCAATGATGGAGGCAAAGCTAGCATGTATGCCACCTCTCCTACTCTCTCCAATATCTAGGATGTGGATCTTATCTCACGCGTATCGTTGAAGTTGCGATATACGGAATACATCATACACTCCCTCCAACGATAGAGGCAAAGCTAGCATGTATGCTACCTCTCCTACTCTCCAATATCTCGAAGGGACCGATGAAACGTAGACTAAGCTTCTCGCGGTTGTCAAATCAGATAACCCCTCTAGTTGAGAATATCCTCAAGCAAACATGCTTTCTAACCTGAAACTGTAGAGGTCTCCTCTTACTATCTGCTCAACTTTTCTACCTATTCTGAGCCAACTTAAGGCGATCCCGTATCGTCTTTATCTTTTCTCTTGTTTGCACTATTATCTCAGACCCTAACGGACGTCGCTCTACCAAGTTACCCCAACAGGTAGAAGATCTACAGTTCCTCCCATATAAAGCCTCAAAAGGCGCCATTTGGATGTTGGCCTGGTAACTATTATTATAAGATAACTCTACCAAATGTAAATGGTCTTGCCAAGAGCCCTTGAAATCTAGCATGTATGCTCACAATATGTCCTCCAAAATCTATAGTCTTCTCTAATTGTTCATCTATCTGAGAGTGGTATGCCGTGTTGTAACTCAGTCGAGTCTCAAGACATTGTTGCAAGATCCTCCAAAAGTGTGATTAAAAATGTCTCTGCCGGACACAATACTAACAAATACTCCATGCAAGCGTACTATCTCGCTCATGTACAACTCCACTAGCTTCTCCATCACCTGTCCAACTCGAAATGGTAGGAAGCGAGCCGACTTGGTGAGTTGGTCTACTACTACCCATACAGCACTGTTCCCCTTTTGGCTCCTCGACAAGGCAGTGACAAAGTCCATTGTAATATGTTCTTACTTCCATTCAGGAATAGGATGTGTTCCATGTATCGCAACTTTGACGATACGTGCGAGATGAGACCAATGCCCTAAATATTACAGAACTTCGGGTTGGAACAAACATGTCATATGAAGAGCAATCGATAGTTGTTTTGGATAGACAAGAAAATATCTTTAAAAATAGGACCATTCCTCTAGTCTTGATGTCTTGGGGACATCGTGGACCAGGTGAAGCAACATGGGAGCGAGAGGATGATGTTCGTCATCGCTATCCATATCTCTTTACAACAGGTAACATCTAGATCTTCTTATGCTTGGATTAAATTTCGAGGACGAAATTTCTTTTTTACGTGGGTCAGATGTAATACCTAACTCACTGTCCCCCTTCCCCCTAATCTCCCCACTAAATCTAAAATTCTCCACTAAACTACCTTTAATCCTCCACTAAACTATCTTTAACTCCCTTTAACCTCTATAAAACCCTCTCATACTCTCTTCTCGTGGGAAAAAACATAAAGAGAGAGAGGGGGGAAGGCAACAATCAAGGCTAGAAGAGGAAATGAGAAGGATCTTTGCTTGAATTTTTGGTTTGACATTAATAGACGAACATACTGATACGTATCGCCGTGCGAGCACCTTTGATCGCGGAATTATCAAAGATGTCTTTGTGAAGAAAATAGCAAAACACCAGAACAATGCAATATGGTGAACAAAAATATCTTCTCTAGATTATGAAGAACAATAAATTACAAATCTCTCTTTCCTCACAATCTCTCTAGAATAAAGAACAATCTCTCTGTTCTCTCCCTCCTGAAAAACACCTCTCAGACGCCTCCTATTTATATCAAATCCTAAATCAAAACAAATTAGGATAGCCAACTGTCAACCGGCCCGATTAACGGTCAACAGATCTAACCTGTCGGTCGACTGATCGCGAACATGCACAACGTGCATGACTTTATCGGTCGACTGATCCTCTTAGCAGTCGACCGAGCAGAAAGTCTTCCACAACTCAAGGTTCTTATCGATCAACCGATCTTCTTATCAGTCGACCGAGCAGAAACTCATCTTGAACTCCGGGATCATCATCGGTCGACCGACGCAATTCATCAGTCGACCGATAAGAATTTTTTGTGTATTCCAATCCGCGTTTCGTTATTTGTACTGACCCGCGTTTCTATTCTCAAGCTACCATAAGAATTATCTATCATCAAGCTACTATGAGGATCGCTAAGCTCCCGAGGCAGAGAAGATACACCTGTATCACATACCTTTCCTCAATTGTTTTCTTCATGCATGTTTTCAGCGAAAGTTGTTTCCATTGCAGATTTCATTAAACCTTGATGTGTTTACAAGAAATTACAATGAAAATAAAAGAAAATACAACTCTCGAGAAAATAACACAGAAGTCGTTTATCAACTACTGTTTTTGTGGGACTTTGCCTGTGCCGGGAACGCTTTAGTTCGTGGACCACCGATTCGTAGATCGAGAGGTTGTTTAGAGATCTCTCCTTCGTTTATCGAAGTAAAGATTTGAAAACGAATATCTTATCGATGTAAGATGTCCGTTCTTCCAAAGATCAAGTCTGAGCTTAGATCTCTAGGATTCACCAAATGATGCTTGTCAGAGGGTGAAAATTCTCTCTTTCTTTCTCAAAATCACCAAAGACTCAAGTATCTTCTGCTCCAAAAATGCCCTCTAACCGCTCTCCCACGACTTTTAACCACTTTTTTTCGTGGTTTAACCGCTTGTCCACGTCAGCACACGTTCTATTTCTGATATTCCGCCACGTGGACTTCAAAAAAAAAAATCATCGAATAACTGCCTCACAACTGCCACAACACCTCTCATAATAGCCGCGACACCATAGGCTGCCGCGCCTTAGCCGCGGCACCTTGGACTGCCGCGCCTTGGCCGCGGCACCATTGGCTGCCGCGCCTTGGCCGCGGCACCCTGGACTGCCGCGCCTTAGCCGCGGCACCTTGTCCTGAGGCGCTGCGTTGTGTTGCCTGATGATGTGTATATTGTTTCTCCATGTTGTTTCGAGTGGTACTTGTATGTCTGTAAGCATTTTTTAACGCCTACAATGCAACTTTTTTTCTTTGATCATGATATTTTCTTTGTTAAATCGTAGACTTACTTTTCCTTTGTTAGATTTATAATAACTGGTTATTAGCTAATTTCACACTAGAACTATGTATAGGCTTTTCATTATAATTTGAAATTTACATCTTGAATGCTACAGTAAATAGCATAAGTTAGGCCCAAGGGCACTGCAAGATGAACAGTTAGATTTACACGGAATTACCTAATAGAATAGTTGAAATAAGAGATTATCTAGAAGAATGTTAAGAATGCAAGAAAACAATCAAACGAGATCTGGATATTCACCTGTAACCCATTCCCGTTTCTTCCAGATTTTGGCGGAAGTTACCATCAAAGAGACCAACTGTTGGGAAATTCTGCACACCACAAAATCCAGTATCTACTAGCTTCTTAAGAAAGTAATCCATCCGGCGAAATGGATCTGTAGCACACACTCCAGCGAGAACCGGTACCTCTTTTACCACCTAAGGAGATGATAAGAGTTAGAATGCTGGGATTTTAATGTCATTATGATTCTATGAACTTTGTTCTACTCCAAAATAGAGCATAAAATTAAGGAACGCATACAGGTAATACTTCATTTGCCATGTCCAGTACAATTGCATTGGCATCTGCAAAAGGCAGTAATCCTGCCAAGGAACCCCTTCCAGCCATCCGAAAACGTCCAGAGTTGTATACAACTATCAGATCAACACCCCCAACTTCTTCAAATTTTGCAGATATGCCTGTCCCAGCGCCGGCCCCTATAATGGGCACACCCTTATTTATTTGTTGCTTCAGTTGTTGTAGTATAATCTGGGTCCTCTGCAGAGTTTCTGTCAAGAACAAATAAAATATTATACATTCAATGTATGTAAGGTGCCAAAATACCTACTGGTTTCCGTATAAGAGTGCATTGCCTATTCAACTAACCATTTCCTTCTCAACATATAACTTATCTGAACTCTGAAGTAGCCATTCCCCAACTGGTAGGTCTTGTTTTTTTTCCCTTCTTTTTTTCCTTTCTTGTTGTTATAACACATGCTTCTTAGTCAGAAAATTTTGAAAGTACAGCTTTAAGTTAACTCTTGTTTAGACTATATGTAGAGAAGAGGATTTCACTTATTTTTTTATGATGTCATGCCCCCATTACTGTACATTGGAATATCATGCCTTTTATTCTTGCATTACTTTTATCAGATTGAAGCTCCCTACAAAAATCTAGTTTTTATTAAAACATTTCAATTTTTCCAGGTGATAAGCAACTTCTTCATGCAGATGATTGGTCGCAGATTGAAAATCATAAGCTTAATCCTATACATGAGCATTTTAGAGAATAACAGTTAGCATGCTCTGGAAGAATGATCCGTACTAATGAGCAAATATTGCATATTCAATAGATATAAAACCTGGCCTTGCATCAGGAAAGTCGACTGGGGTCCGCCAAATAACCCTGTCATCTGGGTCTTTCCCCTCAGTGCTTTCAACCATATTTGAACAATACTTTTGCTCAAAAGCAGGAATTTCTCGAGGATTCACAGTTCTAGAGATATTCATCTCCAAGAATGAATCAACCAAGGCATCAGCGAAATTTGGATCATTGATATGGTACGGTATTATCTTCACCTACAGAAGTAAAACATAAATATAAGATATGTATATGAGATAATGGACATAAACACATATAAACTATAAACTCTAAAACATGCAAATTTAGCATATGGAAACACTCCATCAAAATGGTACCTGTCTATCACTGTTTTTCTCTACTAGCTTATCCAATTCATTTATTAGAGCACATGTAGCCTCTGGATCATAAAATGGCTTCCCAAGAGCATCTAGTGCAGAGACGCCCTTCTCTGGTAGACAAATACAAACTCTTGATGAAGACTTATTCACTTTCTCAGCAATAAATCTCGCAAACTTCTTGTTTTCGTCGACAGTAGTTCGTATTAGTGAAACCTGCAATGCATCAAAATGGTTAACTTCACTGCTTATCTGCTGACAACACAAGCCCACATGCCCACATGCAGGTGCACATAAGAGCAGACCAAAGATATGTTCTACACATGAACATCATGAAGAAAATGATTAAATTATGCATATGCAGCTAAGTAAGATCATAAACAAAGATCTGAGCTTCTTTGAACTTTGCACATAGTACCCGTGGTATTTTAAAATCTCAACAGTATCAACCCCTCAATTACTGATAGTGTACTCTGTACAAAACTATTTGCTCCTTTAAACTGAAGTTAATAACATAACAAGAGATATTG